GGTGCCACATATTTGTTTGAAGGAAAAGGTAAATACTCAAATGCATGTCAAATCTAAGGACCACAGCTTTTGCAAACGGAAAGGCATTGTGCAAACTATGTATCTCATGAAACACCGGCCCCTGGTCCCCAGAATGACCTGTGGTATCCTGGGAGCTTGTGGAACCCCCCCCCCCCATACTTTGCTTTCACAGCTCCTCCTTGCCAGGTGTGCTGCAGAAATGCCAGGCTGCCCCGGACCCAGAGACCAGTTCAGTCCTCCTGAGTCCCCTGTGACCTGGGAAACAAGCTGACTTTTAAGATAAAGCCCGGGATTTCCAAGTCACTTCCAAGATCCTTCCTCTCTTAATCTCAGGCCTCTATACTTGCAGATGTTCCATTATTTTAGACAGCTAAATTAGGTAGAAATAAGACACCTCTGAGGAAGATTAACGTCTCATACTTCCCTAAGGAATGAGTGGAGATTTGGGATTATTCCTATCACCCTCTTCAGATTATCTCATTAGGGGTGGGCCATCCTGTCCCACCCACTAAGACTAAAACCACCCAGACTAAGACTAAAGACAAAACTAACTCTATAAACAATCAACCAAAGTTAATGATGTCACCCATGTGCCCTTGCTATTGATCAATATTACCTTAGCAACCATTATACTTGTAATCTTACTGTTTGATCGTAATGTTGACCCATGTTGTACCCGACTCATGATTTTCCTTTGAAGGTGGGCTCATTGACAACCCACTCAGGACCCCTCCTGTCTCAGGAGCTCTTCCTACTCCTGATTCCCCATCCCTAGTCCGCATTCCTGTTCCCCAAAACGTTTTCCTGCTTTTAACCTCCTACTCATTGCTCTGACCTTTCTCATTCTTAGACCTTGGGGAATATGAACTCGGAGTACCTGAAACCTAGCATTTCCCCTATATCACTACCACGCTCAGCTCTAGAAAGGATTACGAAGAGGTGTGGTGCTGTACACTGATAATCCCAGCTATTTGGGAAGTGGAGGCAGGAATTACAAATTCAAGGCTGGCCTGAAATCTCCCAATGCCTTGTCTCACAGCTCCTCCTTCCCAGGTCTGCTGCAGACATGCTGGGAACAGAGCTCTCTGGGTGCCGTCTTCAGCCCTGCACACCTCTGTCCGCACTCACCGACACCCACACACAAGGGTTACCTCCTCTCATGCACGGCAATGCCCCAAACCTGATTTTTTTTTTTTCTATTTTGTGGTACTGAAAATTAAACTGAGGACCACACACATCCAAGCAGGCAACCTACCACAAGGCACATCCCTACACCCTTTTAAAATGTTATTTTAAGACAGGGGCTTGCTACATACCCAGGCTGGCCTTTAGTTTGCCATCCTCTTGCCTCAGCCCTCCGAGTCACTAGGATCACAGGCGTGGGCCACCACTTGGCTCCCTAATATGGTTTTCAGCAAGGTAAAAATATTCATTACTTAAACCGTGCGGGCGTGGTGTGCACATCAGTAATCCCAGCACTCAGGAGGCTGAGGCAGGAGAATTGTTGTGAGTAGACCAGCCTGGGCTACAAAGCAAGCCCGAGACCAGCCTGAACTGCATGGGGAGACCCTGTCTCTAAAAGACAAAAAAAAAAAAAATGTTCCTCAACATGAATGCATATCAAAGGTTTTACTTTGATGGGGCACAACAGGAGGCAACGCAGGTCAAAGTAAGTGTCTAGAAGCTTCGAAGGAGGGGAAGCTGGGAGAAATCGGCTTGGGAGCTGCCTTCGCCCAAAGGGCAGTGAAACCATGACCCTGGGGATGAGCACCAAACCCTTGATGTTTCTGTTGGGCTAGAGTCTGCCAGTTCCCATGTCACCTCTGGGTTCTGCCCAAAGACACACTTGCCTAGAAAAGAGCGAATCCTTGGATGGGCCTGTGAGCCAGTGTGACTCTGAAAGGACATTCAGACAGCCTTTTGCCTTGTTTCCAAATTCTAGACAATTTTTCTTAACCTGTGTGGGGCAAGAGTCTACAAACGGATTTGGGAGGCCTGGGCCTGAACTCGACACCCTTGGTGTGTGTGTGTGCCTGTTCAGGGGGAGGGGACTCAGAGCTGTCACAAGGCTGTCAGGGCTCAGTGACCCCTCCCTGTATAACTCAAGGTGTCACCTTCTTTCCCATCTCCTGCAGCGGGACAGGCTGGCTTCCTGACACCACAAACTGACTGATATAAATCCTCCTCCCCTCCCAGTCCTGACGTCCCTATGACCAGGCACTGGCAGTACAGACAGAAATAAGGCTGGCCTGACCTGGCTTTGAGCAAGGCAGGATGCCAACTTCTCTTTCTGTTTTTTTGAGACAAGGCTTTTCTGTGTAGCTCAGGCTGGCCTTGAACTCACCATGTAGCTCAGACTTGCCTCGAAGTTACTGGAATTCTCCCGCCTCAGCCTCCCAAGTGCTGGATTACAGATGCTCAGCAAGATGGCTTTCTAATAGGATCCACTAAGTCATTTCCTGCTGTGCTCTGCCCACCGTAAGAGGAAAGTAGGGAGCTCAAGGCCTAACCTGAACAAGCACTCCCCAGTGGGCTGTGCCAGCGGAGGGCCTCAACGTGGTTTGGGGTTCGAAGTGACCTTTGAGTTATTGAGACCAATTTAAAAAACCCTCATATGCTGGGAGGCTGAGGCGGAAGAATTGCAAGTTAGAGTCCACCTGAGTAACTTGATTTACAGAGACCCTGTCTCAAAAAAGGGGGGGTGGGGTTGGTATATACTCAGCGTGAAGGCTCTGGGTTTGGTCCCCAGAAGTCAATCAATCCATCAGTCAATCAGTCAAGCAAATGCATAAAATTTAAAAGCATCAAAGAGATCTCATACATATCCGAAATTGACTGGTACAAATCAAAATGTCCAATGTTTTTGCCCTTGGCTGGTGAGACATCACGTGGTAGCAGTCACCATACTTGTCACCATTTTGAACCTCCTGATGATAACAATTGTGCCATGTTGCTGATTAATAAGCAATGAAATGAGTTAGTTGCCACTAATTGAACTGGTTACAGTTAGAAGTGTTTTGGTTTTGTGTGTGTGTATTACTGGAGATCGAACGCAGAGCCTTTTGCACCAAGATGTGTCCACACTTCTTTTATTTTTTGAGACAAGATCTCAGTAGGTTGCTAAGTTGCCCATGCTGGGCTCGAACCTACAACCCTCCTGCCTCAGTCTCTCAGAGTACTTGAAGATAGACAGAAATCTTTAAAATGTGGACTCATAGAGGAAATACAATTGCAGCTGGTGCCTGTATGGCACCTGCACTGTACCTGAGGGATGCCTGGCTCTCCTCCTAGCACTTTCCATGTACCGTTCTCCAGGATTACTTCTGCTTTCTCATTTTACAGATGAGGAAGCCGGGCATGCAGAGGTCTCCCATTTGCTCTGATAGGAGGTGGCAGAGTCAGAACTGAACTCAGGCCGAGTGGCTCTGGAGTTCCGCCTCCCAAGACTGCTTCTCCAAATACACAGATGAAGTAAAAGAAAAAGGAAATGACGAAGAAAAGGCTGCTTGCTTGTCCTTGCAGTGTTCCCTGATTTATTGTTTTCTTTTTTCCTTCCTTCTTCCTTTCAATCCTCCTGCCTGAGTCACTCAGTGTACTACGATTACAGGTGTGCACCACCATGCCCAGCATCCAGGCAGCCACTCCAGGCTTCTGCACCATGGCGGCCCCTGGAAGGCATCCTCCAGTGACCTCCTTGTAGTCCGGGCCCTGGGAGAGCAGAGGGAACAGCTCAGTCCTCGCCTGGACAGACTGAGGAAAGGCTGGCCAGGGACATGTGCTCTGATGCCCCTTGGGTGTAAACCCAGCGTTCACAGGTTACCGGGTCACAGGGCAAGCCGGCTGGATTACGCACACAGCTTGTTCTGAGAGCCTTTCCCCCGTTTGCTATCCTTGCATTAGTTACCTCTTTGTCCTAGTCCTCACCCTCGATGATGCTGGCTGGGCAAACATCACCTCTGCTATTTACTCAGAATTCTTCAGGGGACTCCAGGCTGTGGGCAGGTGGGAGGAAGCGCAGGGCTCTGAGATTACGACACTGTTTTCTACAGGAGTGGGAGCTGAATTCCAATAGATCTTACATGCTTTGGATCAGAGCCTTCTGGGCGCAGCTGGACAGAGGCAGCTGGGGGGACGGCAGGGCTCAGCTGTCATCCTCCCGGCAGGCCACTGGCTTTCCAGACTCTGTGCTGTCTATTCAGGTAGAACAATGGCGTTTTGGCTTTTTTTCCTTTCCTTTTCTTAAAATTAAAAAAAAATTTTTTGGGGGGTCTTAGTTCTTAGTTTCTCCTCTTGCTCTTCCTGCTTTATTTTTTTCTTGCAGTTTATGTTGCCTTATTTTTTTTTTTAAAGAATACTTGCAGCTGAGGATATGCTCTACCTCACGGGTAGAGCATTTCCCTAGCATGTACAGGGCCAGGGTTCCATCCGCATCACTGTCAAACAAACAAACAAAAAACCAAAAAAACACCTGCAAAAAGAAAGCAAATACCTTCCCTCAAAAACCAAAACAACTAACCTCCACTACACACCAATAGATGTACATGCACACAAAATTTATCTTTTAGCTGGGCATGGTGGCTCATGCCTGTAATCGCAGCACTCGGGAGGCTGAGGTGGGAGGATCATTGTGAGTTCGAGACCAGCCTGGGCTACAAAGTGAGCTCAAAGCCAGCCTAAACTGCATAGTGAGACCCATCTCAAAAAGACGAGAAAAAAAAAAAAACTTATCTTTTAGAGCTCTGTACTCAAGAATTGGTAGATCTAAGCGAGGCACATGGAACCCACCTCTAAACCTAGCTACTCAGAAATCTGAGGCTGGGGGAGTCAGAAGTTTAAGGCCAGGCAGGGCAATTTAGCCAGATCCTGTTTCAAAATTTAAAGGGTCAGGGAGGAGCTTGGTGATAGAGTGGTTGCCTAGCATTGGCAAGGCCCTGGGCCCATTCCCCAAGGCAAATGAAAGAATTGTGAGACAAAGCAGACAAAGACAGGACTCTGGAATTTACTTTACAGTAGTTCCCACGAGGCTAGGCATGATGTGGTTCAGGTGCTGTGCACCTGAGGTCTTGGGTACTTGCAAAGCTGAGGTAGGAGATTCTCCTCAGTCTAGGAGTTCAAGGCCCACCTAGGAAACATGGTGAGTTCTTGTGTCAAATAATAAATAAATACACACAATCAAAATAAAACAATCTGGGCTCAGTGATACACATCTGTCATTCCAGCTACTTGGGAGGCTGAGGCAGGAAGTCTACAAATTTGAGTATCTTAGTAATACAGCAAGACTCTATTCCCTTCCCTCAAAAAAAGTGGTGGTGGGTGCTTGGGATATAGTTCAGTGTGAAGGCCTTGGGTCCAATCCCCAGTACTACCCCAAAAAATTAAATAAAAATTTAGAAATATAAAAAGTGCTGGGGATATAGCTCAGTTGAGGTCCTTGGTTGACTCTCAGGGCCACAGAATATAAATAAAATAATCAGTTGCAGTGGAGGAAGAGTGGTCCTGGCCCTGCCTTTATAATTGCTGAGTTCGAGTTTAGGTTGTAGGTATTGTCATGTTTTCCTAATCTCATTAACTGGGGTTGAGGATTTAGCTCAGCGGCATAAGCGCCTGACTTGCAAACAGGCAGTCCTGAGTTCGATCCCCTGTCCTGATAAAAAGAAAAAGCCTAATCTCATTAACTTTTTAAAGGTTTAAATTTCTCACTAAAAGGTGTTTTTAGAATTAAAAAAAAAATCTTGTCGGAGATGGTGGCACACACCTATAATCCTAGGAGTCTGGAGGCTGAGACAGGAAGATCACTGTGAGTTCAAGGCTAGCCTAGATTATGTAGTGAGTTCAAGGCCAGCCTGAACTATACAGCAGAGACCCTGTCTCAAAAAAAGAAAAAGTAATACCCCTCCAAATCTGTGATAAAAACATGACATGCATTTTTCAAAGTTTTCTTATTCTTGAAAAGGTCTCTGCAGTAAGCAGCTGCCTCATATTTTATTAAAACTGGGAAAGGAAAAAAATCTGGGAAAGAATTTGAAGAATAAAAATCAAACAGCTTGAGAAAGAGTATCCTAGTTTCTGAGTTGGATTCTGGGCTATTTTTGGCCCCAGGGAATTTTAAATCGGGCTCGGAGTTCCCCAGGGGCCTGGCTCTCGCCTTTTATTAATAGTCACTCCTGGGAGCTACAGTTCTTGATGCAGAAGCGCGGTGTAGACCCGACGCGAGACGCTGGCGGGCGGGCGTGGGCGCCTCAGCGCCTGGCACCTGGGAGGCGCAGAGGAGCGAGCGAGGCGCTGACGCTCTTGGGTTCCCGCCCCGCCCCGCCTGCAGGTGGCACGCAGGTGGCGCGCAGGGAGCGGCGCGCGGTCAAGGCCACCCAGCTTGGCAACAGACAAGACGCAGGGCCAATCCGAGCTGGGCGCACAACAGGGCACTGATTAAACAAGGAAGTGACCTTGGGGCGGGGACCTGCCAGCTCTGGGGGTTCCAGGGAGAGCTGGGAAGGGCTTCTGAGGTGAGCGTGACAGTCCAGCCTCCGCGACGCAAGCCGGGAAGGCTCACGAGTAGGGGCAGGCGGGAAGACGGTGCGCGAGTGGCCAGGGCAGGTGCAGGCAGCCCTGGTGTCTTGGTCCACGCCACCTACCTCCCAGGGCACGAATGGGCGGGGCCAGGCAACAGCTAGTGTAGGGTGAGACCTCCAATTCAAGGGCTGTGAAACCGAGGAGAGGTTCTTCCTGTCCCTCCCCGCTTTCAGGATTGACAAAGATTTAAAGAATCGACCCGAGGCGAAGCCCACGCGTGGGGAGGGGGAGGATCTTCGCGGCATTTCCGTATGGCAGCTTGGCAGATGGCACCAAAAAGCCACGTGCCTGACTGCTTGACTTCTAGGATCAGTTTTGCAGAGGTAGGCTCTCGGGGAAGGTGTCCACGGCCACCGCCCTCTTTATTATACCTGCCCTGGTGCAAAGCGAGCCCCTAATGTCCTGTGAGGAGGGTTGAAATCGCAGCAGATCGTCTAAGATGCTGGGGTTCCTGTGTCCCCCCCCCCCCCCGGAGAACAACGCTCACGCCATAAGCAAGAGTGACAAACAGGTGTCGCCCTTCTTCACTTGAGACCATGGGGTAACCCAGCAACGTTTGACTGCCCTGGTGGCCCAGGGTGAGAGAGATCGACGGAGAACTTTCATTTTCTCTTCTAAAGTCTTCTTCTGGAATAATCAAATAAATGGGAAAAGATGGAGGCAAGCAGGAGTGCTGGACCGCTAAGGGTGCCTGGTCTTGTCCACCGAATTAGTGCAACCTCTGTGCGCTGCCAGGAGCTTGGGAGTAAAAAAAGCTGGCGGGTAAAGGCAGAGGAGGCGGCTTCCCCCGGGGTTGACCTATGCGCGCTCTCTCTATCCTTGTACTCCTCTCGCACTGGGCTACAGTCCCCATTCTTAGCACCTTTTATATTCTTGATGCCGCTGGAATCTTTTTTTTTTTTTTTTTCAGTTTTAGGGATCGAACCCAGAGCCTCTTGCACGCCAAATGTGCGTTCTACCACGGAGCTACAGTCCAGCCCCTTACTATTTTACCAGATCCCCCCAAAGCTCCTCAAAGAAGGCATTCCAGTTAGATGAGAAGAGCCCCCTTAGCATATTAGCCCCGCCAGCCACTCCGATTACAACAGCTGTCACTCGGGGGGACAAGATCCGAGTTGGGGCGTAGGCTCACTTACCCTTCTTAGCTGTGCGATATTAGCAAGTTAGTCATGCTTTCCCCCACGGGGTTCCTCGTTTTGTAAAGGGAGAGTGGAGCATAAGTAGCATCAGCCTGGTCTATAAACGCAGCATAAATCAGGTACAGTGCCAATACGTTGGCACATTTTACAGATGGAGAAATAGAAGTTCCCAAGAAGACAGGAATCCCGCCCTAGATCCCATGTCCCCCAAGATGCATTGCTAAGCTCGCTGGCGAGCCTCAGTTTCCTCACCTAACCCCGCCCCATACAGGCCCCGCCCCGCCCAGGCCCCGCCCCATCCAGCGCTCACTCAGAGTCGCCTGCCAGCTCGCTCCGCAGACCGGCGAGACTCAGCCAATCGGCTGCGACCGGCGTCGGTGCGCTCCAGCCTCGCCCGCGGTCCTCCCGCCCCTGGCGCTCTCCCGCAGCTCGCTCACTCCGCCGCCGCCGAACTGCAGTCCGCCGACTCGGTAAGGCCCGTCCACGGCCGCGCGTGGGGAAGACGATCTGCGGGCCGGGCGGGGACCGCGAGGCTTCTGAAACCCAGGAAGGGGTTCCGAGTTTGTGACCACCCAGTCGGGCTTAGAGGACCCAAGCGCTACCTTCGCGCGGCGGAACTCGCAGGGAGCCCTAGCTCCGCAGGGATGGGACCTGGGATCCGCGGAAGGATGCTTGGTGTTTTTACTTGGCCGGACGCCTCCCTTCCCCGCTTCACACGGGGGAAACCAGTAGGGCGCGGGCTCCGATCTCCGGTCGGGGTCCCTCCAGCCCGCCGTGAGTGGGCTGGGCTTGGGGGTCCTTCTGGGGCTGTCTGTCGGTGGGGAGGGGCAAGGCTTGAGCCGCAGCTGGAGGGATGCTCTGTCTTCGGGCCCTGGCAGGACTTCTCTGCTCCGAGCCTGTAGGAACGATTCCTTGCTCCACCCAGTGAACCCCAACCCACCTCCCGTCAGCGAGTGCATTGGGTCTGGGGCCACCCGAGTGTCATCGGCACACGGACAGGTACTGTACAGTCGCGGGAAAGATGCTGTGCTTCTTAGACGTGGTCGGTCGCCGTCCCTGAAGCCCCCTCCTCAGTCTGCCCCCGCAGTGCAGCTGCGGGTCACGCCCTTGGCGCAGAGCAGCGGTAGGGGGTTCGGTGGAGGTGGGTTTCGGGCCCCTGCGTGTAAACGCCCCCCCCCTCCGCTGCGTGACGCGGGGTCAAGGACAGTGGAGGGTGCGGAGAGGCTGTCCAAGGTCGCACCTGGCAGGCTCTGCAGGGGGGGGGGCGCTCACGTGAGCAAGCCTCGGCGAACTTGGCCCGCGAGCCCGAAGGTGCGGTCGAACCTGGGTACAGCCCGGATTCCGCGCCGCCACCAGCAACCGCTTCCCTTGGCTTTGTTCAGGAAGGCAGTAGATCAGCGTCTTTCTAAAGGAAATCGGCGTCTGCCTTTCGTCAAAACTGGAGGAAGGGAGGCTGATCCCACTTATTTTTTTTTTTAACTTCAAGAATTAAAAGTTAGGATTACCAGGTTATATACAAAACAAATCCAATATTTCCACTTCTAGGGCAGACTTTCGGTTTCTCTTTGCTTCATACAGTAAACTATTCTGGAGCAGATTTTAGTACGAAACTGGTAATTTTTAAGTTACTGAATGAAGCAAATCAGTTTAATCTTTGGAAACAAGTATTTTGTTACACCATTTTCTTGAACAGGCATCTGGTTTCTCGTCATTCCAGATATTCAAGCATGCTGTTTATTTCTGCCAAAACCACAAACCAAAGGATTAAAAGAGGGTCGAAGCACTGGCCTTTTATTCTAGCTAGCAAGCACCTCCTCCCCCCTCCGAAGTATTTAAGGTGACACTGAGTTAACATGCTGAGGAAGCCACAGACACGTGGGCATTAGTGCACGGGAAGATGCTGTAGTCCAGGCGAGTAGCTAGTTTGAAATTGACTGAATTGGTTCTTTGGGCGGGTTTTGCCTCGGTACCCCGAGGCAGTGGCTCTTATGTAAATTACTAGTTTACTTTGCGTGAAGCACTGGTGGACTTGACCTTGCACTTGAAATCCTTCTCACAGTGGCTGGTCCCAGACGAGGTCAGGTGTAGGAGTGCTCATAACTTCTGTGCCACAATCTGGGATCACGCACAGGCCAACCCGTACTACTAGAAACAAGCTGGAGATGGAATTAAACTGTCGTCACTGCCTCCGACACTGCCCGGGAACAGTGAATGACCTCACAGTCCTCGGGTCCAGGTCTCGGGGGAGTCTTGGGGCACCGGCCTGTACTTGCCCAATTTTAGGCCCGCATGCCCATTCATAAAAACACTTAATCTTTACTTGGTCTTCGCAATGAACTGCTTTCAGTCCCGCCCTGGGCTCGCGTGGACGCAGTCCCAGGCTGCCGGTTACATGCAGCGTCTGTCATTGGGCAAACTGAGCTTGTAACTGTCCCCAAGATTGAGCACCGCAGGGCTTGTCTTTCCTTCCTACGGAGAGGCGCACTGCATTTCTTCCGCAGTTGCAGGAGTGGCAGCGGCGCTGCGCGCCAGCTCGCTCCGGAAAGTCTCTGTGGACGCCGCCAGTGGAACAGGATCTGAGCTCCGGGGACCAGCCAGCCAGGAGGCGGGGCTCCCTGTAACCTTTCCCCTACTTTTCTCAGCCGTCACGTGATGCCCGCCCGCGGCTGGGGGAAGGGGCGGGGCGCGGAAGCTGCAGTTGTGGTTCCAGGACGCGCTCCAAGCGCGCGGTTGAAAGGGCTGCCCTGGGTCGTAAGGGCGACGAGAGGGTGGCGACCGGCGTTGAGAAGTGGAAAAAGTGGAAACGGCTCAGCCCAAGGCTGCTTCTGCACTTTGTCGTTTGCATTTTTGGAGGAGGAAGAACTGTTTGCACTTTTAGAGGGAGGGTAGAACTGTTTAGTCACAGCTGTTATTATTAGCAGGCCGGAGTGCTGCGGCTGGTGGAAGACCAAAGTTGAATTCCTGAATTGGTGCTTTAAGAATAAGGTAGTGGTTCACGATGGGAATATTCAAAGTCTGTTTAAGAGCTTTTTAGCTGCCTGTTGTCCCAGTCACTTGAGAGGCTCTGGCGGGAGGTTCGCAAGAACCTCGGGGTTCAGGGCCAGCCTGCAGGGTACTGCACTGCAAGACCCCGCCAACCCGCCTACTCCTGAAAACGGGAGGGGCTGGGTGTAGTTAAGTAGTCGAGTGCGTGCTTAGCATGCTCAAGACTAAAAAAATAGGTTATCTCACCCTTAAATGGAAGCCTCGGTTGTCTTAGGATCATGTGTGCCAGTCTTGAGCTTTACTTGGAAGGACTTCTTTGTGTTGAAAATTAGCAGTGCAGGCACACAGTGCAAAGTTCAAAAGGTGTAAATGGAAACAGTGTCCCAGCCTCCCTCCACCACCCTTCTGTGGAGGCCACCGCTGTTAACAGTTTCTTGGACTTTTAAGTCGCTGAAACTGCAGGGATTTTTTTAAACAAATTTCTGGGTGCTGAGGACATTGATTTTTTTTCTTCTTCTTCTTTTTTTTTTTCCGGTACTGGGAATTGAACTCACGACCATGTGCTTGCAAGGCAGGCGCTTTTGCCGCTGAGCTAAGTCCCCAGCCCTTGGACATTGATTTTTTAAAAAATCCATTAACCCACGTGATGAATACTTTCTGTGTGTTGATTTCAACTGGTGTTTTCAACTGTTCGTTGTTTTTTGTGACGTTCAACTTTTTTTTTTTACCTTCAACTTTCACCGCATGCAAATATTGAGTGGACATTGGGTCCCCACAGGGCCTGGCTGAGGCCGTGTTGCCCTGATTGGGTAACAGGTGGCAGCATCAGTTCTGAGAAATGTCCACCTTTGTCTTTCTTTTTGTGTGGGTTCTGAAGTCCATGAATGTTTTCGAAAGTTAATAATGAAAGAAATTATGTTGCTGGGTGAGGCTGCCCGCCCAGGGTAATCTTTACCTTAGAAAGTTGAAAGAGGAGCGCTAATTCTCTGTTCCCTGAAGATCACCAGCTCATCAGGGGCCAAAGAGCTTTATAGGTGGAAAGGAAAGGAAGGTGGTTTGTAGCACTTGTCTCAGGGACCTGAGGGTCTTCTGGATTTTTCCTGTCCCCTAACGTCACCATGCATAGTAGGGTTGGGGCTAAGTCTTGTTCTTTCTACTTCCCGAGCTGCTTGGTAACCTGGAGGTCCTCACTGTCTCCATAACCCCAGCAGGCATGCGGATTGTTTGTTAGAGGAAGGACAGTGTATTAAGACTCCCTGTCTCCCTTGGGTTGCTGCAGCCTCCTGACATGGTGAGGCCCTTTGAGGGGCATGGTTTGAGGAAGTCCACAGAGGGAAGCAGGGAGCAGAGGAGCCCAGTGGCTCCCTCCTCTCAGGGCATGGCCTTCATGCCATACGGCAGTCAGGACTCTGGGCCCCACACTGTGCCTTCCCCCACACCACAGTCCTTGGCTTCCTGCAGTGAGCTCCTCTTTGCCCACTGGTGTGGTACTGTCTTCCTCTGAGGTTTGTGGCTCTTGGCCATGTCATACTCCTGTGCTGGGGAGTAAATGGCAAAGACCAGGGACATTGGTAATTCTTTCTCTTTGGACTCTGTCTCTTCCCCCCAGATTAAGCGGGTAATGCATTTTATATTAACATGAAGTTGCCTTTCTTTTAAGAAGTTATCATATGCTGTAACCCAAAGTTGGCTTTTAATAAGATGATTCTTCAACCCTAATTCTGCAAGGGTCAGCATCTTTTAGCGCCCTGAAAGTATTTTACTAACCAGAGGTTGGGGTCTTTGTGTCGTGTCAGAGTTTTGCCGGCAAGAAATGAACAGATTGTTGAAAGTTAAGTGTCAAAGTTAGAAGAGGGGCCAAAGTACTAAATGCTGGCATTTCGATCTTGCATGGGAGGCTAAGCAGAGCAGGGACATAACACCTATGCTCCTGGAGAACTCATGCTGGCAGGACGTGGCTCCAGCTGGAGAAGGACAGTGTGTGTTCATGCATTAAAGACCTAAGGTACTGCAGCGGGGTTGTCCTTCAGCTCCTCTCACTGTATGAAAACAAGTGACCTTTGTACTAGGTCTGATGTATGAGTAAGTGACAGAGCTGGAGTCTGAACACAGATCTGAGCTATCTCTGATTTCTAGGCTGCTTGGATTTCTGGACAGCTAGAGAGCCTGTGTTTTGTGGTACACACACACACATCACTTTCACTCTGACTCAAAAGGGATGCACTGCTGAATGGGATGTGAGCATTTCTGGGTTTTCATTTCCTCATCTATAGGATGGTGGCTCTGATACCTGCCGTTTTATGCCCCATAAAAAGTTAGCTGTGAAAAAAGTTTTGAGCTGCAAGATATAGATGGTCCCGGGCTTACCACTACCCTGCTTTAAGATGCAGTGAACCCACCCAAACACATTTAGGAGGGAGTGCTCTTCAGATGTTGAGTTTGGCTCTTTCCCCTGACTAGTGTTAAGTGGTGCGATCCTCTTGATGCTGGGCTGTAGCCACAGCTTCCAGCGAGCCACGGTTCGGGGGAAGAGCCGATGCTCTACAGCAAGCTGCGGGGTTTGGTGGGGCAGGAGAATGCAGTCTGTTTTCAGCCTTGTCCTTCGGATATGATCTCTCTTCTCCCCACCAGAAATTGAAGCATCTGAAAATATAGATTCTGGCAGTCAAGGTCGGGGTGACAGGCGGATTTCATTGATATCACCTGTTCTTCAATCCCCAAATTGCATCTTGTGGTGGGACAAGCTCAGTTAAGCTCTGGGAGCAAAGATGAACAGCAAAGGAGATCCCCAAGCTTGCTTCCTCCATGGATTGTGGATAGGCTGGGGGCAGGTCAGGCCCTAGGCAGTGAAGGTCAGCTCTTTAACTCGGGGCGAGCCTCAGAGTAGGATAGATAATCCTATCCTATTCTGTCCTATTCTGACAGATAATTGGGCCTGTCAACGCATTAGATACTTTCTCTATGGAAGATCCAGCCAGACGTGGTACATGCCTGCCATCCCAGCTATTCAGGTGGCCGAGGCAGGAGGATCACAGGTTCAAGGCCAGCCTGGGAAATTTGGCAAGAGCCTGTGTCAGAATAAAAGCGTGGTGTTCTGGCAGTGTGGCACTCAGTGTAGAGTGCTTGCTTACCCCATGACAGGTCCAGTAGTACCACACACACAGGGATCCTCAGTGGCTTTCCCTGCTTCTTTACTGTTAAGATTGCATCTCTGCATTTATCTGATTGACTATTTCCTATTGATGTTGTGCAATATCACCCCTAGTCCTTCTTTATGTCTTATTCTAGGCAAGGTCTCACGAAGTTGCTAAATAGCCTAGGCTTGCAACTTGGGATCTTCCTGCCTCAGTATCCAAAGTGCTAGGATTTCAACTGTGAGCCATCCTGCTCGGCAAATTTGAATTTGCTGTAATTTCATAGTGCCAAGATAGGTAGAATCTATTGTTTTTGAGAGCTGTAAAGAAAAGATGTGTAGCAGTTCAACATTTCTTTTCTAACCTGACCTAACCCATCATATTGACCCCTGCGGGAAGTCTACTGTGTGGCCAGTTTAAATAGGGCAGCTGTTGACTGCTCTTTCGTGAATTCAGGCTTCACCTTTCGTGCTGAAAGTTCCTTGGTATGGTTTGGATGCGGTTTGTCCCTGCCAAAACTCAGTGAAATTTGGTCATCAGTGTGATAGCATTGGGAGATGGAGCCTTCTGAGCAGGGTGATGTCACCTCACTGTCTTGCACATCGGGGCCAGGGCCACTCTTGCACACACACACTTAGACCCTGTGATGCCATGATATAGCCTGAGGCCCTTGCCAGAGAGGCCACCTCATCTTGGACCGGCTGCCTTTAGAACCATGGGCCAAATCTCTTTATAAATTAATCGCATTGCAAGAGTTCTGTTACAGCAACAGCGAACAGGCTGAAATAGATTTGCACCTTTTTTTTGTACCTGAGATCCACTCAAAAACGTAAGTGGAGTTTGAGATCTCATATTGCTTGCTGCAATTACCCGTTGCCTCTGTCTTCCTCTCCCCTCTGCTCCCCTCCCCTCCCCACCCCTCTCCCCCTCCCACCTTCTTCCCTCCATACCTTCTCAGGGGCTCATGTGTGCTGGGCAAATGCTCCATTAGTGATCTGTCCCAGAGTCCTTTTTAAATTTTGAGACAGGGTGTCACTAAGTTGCCCAAGCTGGCCTGTAACTTTTTTTTTCTTTTTCATTTTTATCGGCACCAGGGATCGAACTCACAACCGCTTGCTTGCAAGGCAGGTGCTTATGTCGCTGAGCTAAATCCCCAGCCCCTGGCCTGTAACTTTTGATCCCCTGCCTCAGCCTCCCAAGGAGCTGGGATCACAGGTGTGTACCACCTGGCCTGTGCCATTCTTGTTTCTAAGGTGCTCCCAGCAGCTTCTAGAAATCATACATATATTTATATATGTACTTGTTTACTGAAAAGGCACACTGTTAGAGGGAAAGCTGGGGGTGAATGCTGACATGCTTAAGAATGCAGTATCTGGGTGCCTGCACACGTCAGTTGCAACGGGACTACTGTTTATTTTTTTTTTCCTTATTGCCAGTTTTTACCTGCATCTGCCTTTAGAAGACTCGTGGCCTTTGCTGCACGTGTGTGCCAATTCTAGGGAAACCTCTGGACTGGTGCTGCCCCTCTGGAACCTTCCTGGGACTTTGCATGAAGGGTTTTGAGTGGCATTGAAGAGGCCAGCCTGAGTCACCAAGCATGGAAGTCATGTGATTTTCCTGAGCTGGGGCTGTGCTGGGGGCCAGAGCCAGCCTTGTCTAGCAGATCAGACCCCGCCCCCCCAGCAGAAGAATGTGCCATGGCTGACTGCTTGCCTTTCAGCAGAGACCCCACCTGCTGTGTCTCCTAGAAGCCTTGGAGCAGGGCCCAGGTGTCTTTCAGCCTCCCGAGAGAGGGACACTGGCTGTGTTCCTGGAGCCCCTGCCTGGTTTCACACTGAGCTAGGCTGTCACTTCCTGCAGGTAACC